GTTTTGTCTGCTGTTTTGATACTTCCAGTAAAAGACCACTTAAAGCCCCAATCGTTGCACGCATCTGCTTTTCACACCATACAACTAAACACAGGGTTTAAGTCGTACAGTGTGAGCAGCAGCTCACGATTTATGTTCGGTCTGACGCTTTCATGCGATCTACCTGCTCAAACCGTGCAACTAAAAACCACGGTGGAATCAGCTCCGCAGTGAGATTGAGCTGCTCTGTAGCTCTCTATCCTGAAGCCAAACAAATAGAAGAGGGATATTAAGCTCCATATAGTGAACCATGCTGCCTTATCAATTTATGCAATTATGTGTTGAGGGTCCTAGAAAGAAAGGGCGATGACGTATTTAGATAAAGGACGTGACTCAACAGGCGTGGCTGCTGCGGTCCGTCAATTTTGCAGACAGAGCTGCATTTCACTGATTGCATCTCTGCCATGCTGCTGTGTTTACATCTGAGAGGAAGAATAAAAAGAAGAATCCTTGTTTGCGCATGCACCCTGAGCCATTTGCCCATGACGGTCGGGAGAATATCAAACATGTTTGATATTCTCCCGACCTCACGATTCCTGATCAGGAGGTGGTCATGAGAGGCTGATCGGCGCCCGTAACCCGCTGTACACTACACGACGCACGATCAGACTGAAAGTCGGGCCGATCGAAAGATTCTCGCATGACTGGAAAATCACATTTCTCAAAGTGCAGCAGTGATCAGATGTAAACATCGTGGGAGGAAAAAAAAAACACTTTAAAATGGTCGGTTTGATGCAGAGTCATTGACATGATTTAGAGTTTTTTCGCATTCAGCTGTCTGATGGTGGGGGAGAAGCTGTTTTGGAATCTGCTGGACCTGCATCGAATGCTGGACAATCTAACAGACCAACCTAATCTAAAGAGTGCACCCATTTAGCTAAAATAGTACACTGAGGACTGAAGATTTATATTTTTGGGGGAGGGTGGCTATATTTGCAGACAGACATTTCTTTAGACTGTAAGAGATGTTTAATATTTAGTAAGGCTTTACCACTAGGAAGAAAACACAGAACTTGACATTTTTAGTGGCATAAACCACTAGTTATTATTTGCATCATAATTCCATTGTAATTGTACCTTTGGCTGCAGGTGATTGGGGTGCACGGTGTTGGTCTGTGCTATGCTGTGTTGTTGGGCTGTGTTTTGCAGTCTTGGCAACAGAGCTCACTCCCCACCTGCAGCCATAGAGCAACTGGGGATCATAGTACTGGTCTTTGATGTCTTCACAGATATCTAATCATTGACCAGCCTCCAAACTCTCCAACAAACACACTCTTTACCCAATTATAGTAATTCCACTTTACCTCAAAATGAGTCTTTTTTTAACAGAGTGGATTATATTTATTTTATTTAAATGTTATGCATGTAAGCGATAAGACAAAATTCTTGTTTTACAACCCGTGTGTAGCGTCAACCTAGATAGATTTGCTTTTTTATTGTCAGAATATCAAGAGGGAACCATTGAATTATGCCTGTTAAAATAAGTTTTTCGGCCTTAAATATTGGTGTGCCCGGGGACATTTTTTTTCCTTCAGCGTTTCAGTTTGGTTAAGTGTCACCTTATTGTGTCCAAGTACTGTTTACTTCTGTGAGGTGCTCCTTCAAACCACACCAGCACCTGGGGATGTTTAATCATCACTCAGCTTAAATACATCTACAGCAGATGTTTGGTGTGTCTCCTATGCCTCCTTTCTTCGAGATAAACACAGTGCTGGTGCACTTTGTCTTCTGTCAAATTAAATGGAGAAGACTTGACAGCAGACATTGAATTTACTGTTTATATTGGTCCTCTATAATTTGGAATCTCATCCTCCTGCACCATAAATTTAAGGATGTTTGCTCTAGATTATCAAAGCCTGATGACCTTTTTTCCTGAGAGTTGTAAGCTTTATATCGTTGTATTCTCTCTGAACTGAAACTACAAAAGTCAAACTAGGCAGTTTGGGTTATTCTAAAAATTGACATATTCTATTGGACTAAATAACTGTCTGAAAGTTAAAGTAGACTCAGCTTGGTTTGTCCTTGTCACAATATTGTACACTATATCCCTAAGGACTGTATTGAATGTAATATACTGGCTGCTTTATTCCATGTCTCACATGGGTAAGTGGATTTATTAAAACTGGTATTGCAGTATTTACAAGGAGAAAAATCTTTATAGTGTACTTGGCCTAAATCCAAATGTCAATGTGGTTTTGTCTTCAAAATTACCTTTGAAGATTCAAATCTGCTGGATATGAACAAATGTCCTACCTGCCTTCACAGGAAGAGGTGTCAAAGAAACGTACCCGTCGCGCAGTGAAATTCCAGAGGGCCATCACTGGGGCCTCCTTGGCTGAGATTCTGGCCAAGAGGAACCAGAAACCCGAGGTGCGAAAGGCCCAGAGGGAGCAGGCCATCAGGTAAGAACAGCTGGAAGTCTTGTGTTAATTTAGGAATTTTATTCCTGCTAAAATTTCGAAGATCTTTGGTGGTTGTTTGCAGACTGTCATGAAGTGTAAAAAAAAAAAAATAAAATAATAAAAAAAAACAAATTAAGCTTATGCCATGACACATTTTGAAAAATTATGTAATAAACTTATAATTTTATAAAATCCTTTTGCTCCTACTTGAAAAAACAGAATTTTTTCAGCTATTGGAGTAAAGCTTAGACTAAAGTAGCTCTAAATCTCTTATAGATGGACATATTGTGAAAAATGTTATTTTCAGATATTCTGGAAGAATGATCTTTATGGAATTTCAGTTTTGTATCGAGTTGCCAATTAATGATCTAATGTACACCTGATTGGTTGTTTCAACGTTGAGACTCTGATCCATCCCGCAGACGAGCTGTATTGATTGTCCACAAATTAAATCAACAGAAAGTAACACTTAAAATAAATGTAAACAATTCCTATTCAGACTTGTACCAGATTTGGTTTAGTTTCCTTCATTCTAGATTAACCATTTTTATCGATTGTATGGAACTGTAATAATTTGGTAAATAAAGAATTTTTTGGTGTTTAACAGGAGTTACTTCTTTACAACTGCTCTGTCAGGTTGATCCTCAAATACCATCAAATCAGAATACTTATATCAATAACAGATGACTTAAAAAAACAAAAAACAGCAGCTGTAAAAACTGTTTTCCTTTTTTTTTTTTAGAGCTGCCAAGGAGGCCAAGAAGGCAAAGCAGGCGGCCAAGAAGCCCGCTGCACCAAGTGCAAAGGTGAGATGCAACTTAAAGGCGACACATCATTGCCTAGTTATTGAAGTTAGGATTTTAAAGTCAACGTTTCAGCTTGGGCTTCAAAGTAAATTAATTGCTTTGATTTTTTGCAGTCCTCTTCTAAGACAGCACAGAAGCCTAAGATCGCCAAGCCCATGAAGGTCAGCGCTCCCCGTGTTGGAGGAAAACGCTAAACCTGGACTCACCATTATTGCTTGTGAATAAAGGGTTGTGGTCACACTTCACATGACTTTGAATTTTTTTTTTTTTCTATGAGAATTGATGTAAGATTAGGAAACTTTTAGTAGTGTTTTTTTAAATCACTTCATTAAACATTAACATAAAAAGCTAATTAGGTACATTTTATAAGTACTGTAATTGTTCTAGATGTTGGAATGATTTTAGATTATAAAGTCTATAGTCCCATGGCAATAATATTCCCCCATCCAAGGCTTCAAATACTTGAAGTAACATTGAACATACCTGTGATATTTTCATATACAATTTAATTGCTTTAGTTCAGTTAGAGATTTATTCTTTATGGTCTGTTTAAGCCTTTTACATTAACATTCCCCTTAATATTCACATGTTGAACTAGAACCCTGGTCAGATGTGTTGATTGTCAGCAAGCTTCTCCCAAAAACTGCTGGGTGTTTTGGTCCATTCCTCCTGAAAGAACAGGTTCAGATGGCCAAGTACACAATTCTTACCCAAAAGCCTCAACTCCCAGATTCACCATCCTCTGTCATTGCTCACCCTTCGCTCACGTACGTCATGTGGAGCACTTATGCATCACGTTGATCAGGAACACTGTTACACGTACGTGTTTTGTCTTTTACCATCAAAATGTGGAGCCTGGCTACTTTTTGCTCCGCTCAAGTCAAGATCCGCAATTGATACAGGAAAAAAACCTAAGAACCCTTCAAATTAAAATATGGTAACATATCAGTAACTACAAATTACAGCATAATTATATATTCTCAGTTTAATTAAATGATTGGATGCAAACTATTGCTACTTCATATACCAGGAAGCAGATTGCTCATCTTGATCAAAATATTCATTTCATACAGGGGTTTAATTTTGATCAAATCCAGTCACAACTTTCAATAGTGCCTCTCACAACTTTGAAACTTACTGCAGGCATGGTTTTTGGAAGTAGAGATTAAAATCAATTTTGTATGATTATCCCTATTAAAGACCTACAATGAAAAAATGTTGGGCAGAATCTTGTGATTGATGCTGAGGGTGAGTTTTGTCAAATTAAGCATTTATTACCGCATGTTTTTCTCCTATGAATCAAGTAATATAGCGCATACTCTCCTCGAGCTTCAAGGAAGTCAGAGCGGAGAAAGACGAGAGGAACCTTGAAGGCTGCAGGCTTTGCTTTGCATAGGCGCTCTGGAGTGGGGGGGTGGGGGTTGCAGAGGATGCTGGATTTTGACTGTTCATCCCGTTGCCTCCAAAAAAACAGCTGTGCATGACAATAACTGATTTCCCATCCTGGAAACTCAAACCTTGGATGCCCTCCACAGGCTGTTTAAATCGACTGCACGATATTAAGCTCTACAGCTCTATCAGAGCCTTACAAAGCCATGATCTCATTTGGGTTGTGACAATAAGAAGAAATCACTTTGGATAATCTGAACAGAAATCAGAAAATCTCTTTTTAAAGGAGTGTTTGTATAAAGTCCAAGGTAAACCGTCCATATTATCTTTGCAACCATTTTCATAAGAGTAAATTAACATGCCATTGTGTAAATCCCCTGTTACTGTTTCGAAGCAACAGGGCTGTTAGTTGGATTTATTAACACATAGCCATTACCAGCACACATTTCATTACAATTACCGATCATCTTTTAAATATGGTTAAACAGATAAATTACACCAATTATTGCTAAATTAAGGATTCACTGCATAAATACAGTTTGTCATATAAAAAAAAAAAAAATGCAAATCAAAGGTTTTAAGAGGAAGTCTACAGAGACGATTACAGTCTGTACCAGTGTTTGCTCGTTGACTCGCAGAGCTGCGTGCTTAAAAATATTTTCTTAACATTTCTTGCAAAAAGAAAACTATAAATCAAGGTTTGTTCTCAAACTGACTAAAAGTAAGGAATCCTTACATGGTAATCAATGTTTTAATGACTGCTGAGGTTCAGACACCTGGACTCCAATAAAATTATAAATATGTGAACGAGAAGATAAATGTGATGAAATCCTTCAATTCATGGCAACGTCCGACTTAAATCCAACAGGTGTGTGTTGGGATATTTGCTTGAGGTACTGATTGTTACATCTGAAAGATGTCAGTTGAAAAATGAAGCAAAATTTCCCAAATAGTGCACAAGATACAAAGCATAACGCCTTCGATCAGACAATGTACAATCATAAAACTTGTTAAACAAGTAGTACTTGTGCGTTGATGACCACGGTTGTTTAGCATATGTTAACTTAAAAGCAAAGTTATCTTTTTAAACCCCCTGAGGAAATGTGAAACTTAGAAAAAGGTGCATATTTCCTTCGGGGTGACCAGGCATGAAGTGGTAAAATCTGGTTATGGTGTGGATTTTTATGGAAACAGGATGGGATGGTGAGATTATGTAGAAGTCTCCCTTTGTGTCAGCAGCATGGCAGTGAGAAGATCCTCAGGACTCAGCTGCCTCTTTAGCCTTCGCCTTCTTCTCCTGCTCATAGCTGCAAAGACAAGGAAGAAAACAAGTCTAATAAATATAATGTTGCACACTTGTTGCTTGCAGCTTTCTGAGAGCTCGATGTTAAATTCGCTTTAGAGCAAATGTGTCTATTTCAAATGAAAAAGTCAAATTTTAGCCAAAATACATGCTGATTTTTAACATTAAAGAGCTAGGGGGATTTAAAAAAAAAAATTAAAATTGTGAGGAACCTCATATCACTTTTATCAAAAACTGCAGTTTAATTTAAAAAAGAATTGATTTTGAGAAGCACATCTAATCTAAAAAAAAGTATTATTAATGCATAATAACTTGAGTAAAGCACTTTAGCAACACCTGTAGTCCACAATAGGAACTGTCCTTGTGGATGCAAAACTTGAACCTTTTATTCAGCTTCCTAGAACTATTTAAAGTCACATGACTCAGAACATGGCAGCACCAATGTCTATGATTAATGCAACACTAATTAATGTATCTCAGCTTATCAGTAAGGCGGAAAATGGTTAAATTTCTCTCATAGCTTTCAATGGACTGTTATCTAATCAGAAAAGCAAATGGCTCTTTAAAGAAAAAGTTGAGAAGCACCAAACGTACTCAGTGTTTCATTTTTTTCAACTCAACCAGATGTCAGCTAATAAGACAAACACTTAACTACTACTGTGGTAATCAGTTAACCAGACAATATTTCCTCTTATTCATGTTGAAGGAAAAGGAAGAAACTGAAACTGATAAATCCAAGAGCACCAAACTCTAATGCATAGATTGTGGATGAGCACTGAATGCAGCACACCCTCAGTGGTCTAGAGCAGTGTTTCCCAACCTTTTTTTGACTTGTGTACCCCTTTGGGTGCTGAAATAAAGACCATTTTGAGACTGATCTCTGTGATCTCTTTTGTTTTGTATACACTTAGTGTATACAAAACAAAATTTCGCTTAGTACAGCTTTCCAGACAGTAAATTAACATTTCCATTAAATAACGAGCCACAGTGATCAAATGTAAAAAGTGTGGGAGATAAAAGGTAACACACAGAAGGTATTAATGTTTAATGCCTCTTGGATGACTGAGTTTTTTTTTAATTATTGTTATTTTTTTCATCTAATTTTGTACTTTTTTTTTTATCCTATTTTATATATTTTTATCCTTGCTTTTGGGCAGGTGACTATTCTCTACTGGGGAAAAGTATTTCTCTCTCCTTTAATTTGAGCATTTATTATTTGATATGTTAAACTTTCCATCTAAAAAAAATAAATAAAAATACAGCCTAAATATGTTGCCCAGAAGTTAGTAAGGAATCAGAATAAATACAAAAAGAAAATCCTATTATAAAACTGGAGCTCCTCTGAGTAACTCCCTTATAATCTCATTTAAACTTGATGAATTGAACAAAAACTATAGTCTGACTGACTTAATTAGTTTTACTTTATTTTTAATCAAATCTCCTGAGCTGCTTTAATGAGCTCTGATAGCTCAGTGTGAAAAAACAGCTGATCCCAGACTGTTCTCTACATCCAGTCTGTTCCTCTGCTTGGTTTCCATGCATGAACTCAAACATAAAAGAAAAACTTACTCATTCGTTGATAAAAGCTTATATAATTTTTACATTGGGTCCCAAAAAAGCAAAGCAGAACAGATCAGAGCCATATTTTATTTTGCTACTTAGGAAATCAAATATTTTCATATACCCCTTGCAATGCACTTTCAGACCAGCTCTGTCTATATTTCATGATTTTAAACACTTCTCCCTATAACTGATAGTGAAAGATGTTTCTCCACCCACTATATGAGTTAAAAATGATGCTGGTCTTAATATTTACTAAAGCCTTCCCAAAAGTGCTGATGGGTTTTACATCAGGGATGATTACAGACTGAAGGGGAGTAAAGTGGAGCAATGTGGCTTAAGAAATCTACCGATAAATCTTTGAACTGCACAGATTCACTAAAACACAAACACACCTCCAGATCCTGTAGAGCTGGGATGCTCCAGCACTGCCGAGGAAGAAGTTCACAGCGAAAAGGTTCCAGTTCTTTGGGATGATAACCAGGGAATACCTGGACCAGATGAGCCCTGAGAGAAGCAGCAGGAGGGTTAAACCAGATCAAAGTCTATACCCCCCACACACAAAAAGGCTGATATATGATATTTGTTTAAAGTAACACATTACAAAAGATGCACTGGGTAACCTTTAGAACAGTTTGATCAAATTATCTTTGGAGCTAAACCAACAATGATGGAACTTTTACAAGGAATTTGATCCTCGTGGTTTGTTGCATTTCTTAAGCTAATTGAGGGATAATAAAAATAGAGGGGGGGTAAAATGTACCTCATGGAGGGAGATCAATTTGTTAATTCTGGTTAAATTTATGTTTCAAAATGAAGCCACTAAAACCCACCTGTGGCTGTCAGCACTGCAGACTGGGATGTACTGAGCTTGTCTGCTGGTCGGGTCATATCAGCCAAACCGGCCCCAACCAGGCCCTGGGTTGGAAAAATAAAAGCATGTTTTCTGTTAGCTTTAACTTTGAACCCTGAAATTGTAATAGATCTGAAGTACACAGTGTTTATTGGCTTAGCATGTGATCAGAGGGTGATCAGCTTTGTTTAAAGGTGTTACAAGCTAACAAAGCTTAGGAACAACCTGTGTTTTTGTACACGGGTGTACAGATGAATGTGTGTGAAAGTGCACTCACCCATTTAAACATCGGAGCCCAGAAAAAAACTGTTTTTGGACCTGGAGAGACACAGCAAGAGGGAAAACATGAGGTGTGGGAATTATGAAGGTGCTACATTGTTTAATTTCCAGTTTGGGTCACAGCGATGCCTAAATAACACCCATAGACCAGCTGCTGGTGTCAAAGTTGCCAGTTAAAATAAAAAAAAACTTGGACTTATCTTCTATTGTACAGACTATACAGAACCTGATCCAGTTGTTTCAGGTCACAGATTATGGTTATTTCTAATTGACCAAGTGATTTTTGTTTAATTGTTTATTATCGCTATCTGTTTGATAAATTGCCCTTCAGGACCTTTAAATCTATACATCAGAATAAGAACACTGTACAAAAAACATTACTTTATAGATCAAAATACTAGATTATCTCTACTAGCACTTGGGCTACATGTTGATATTCTGTTTTGAATTATAACAATAGAGCACAGTTTGACCAAATAAGCTACATTAGCACTTTTTATTTGCCGTTTACAGCAAAAGAGGAGAAACACTGAAGGAATAATTACTGGTCTCTAAAAGACACATGAGATATTACAGTATAAAACACTTTAGGAAGACTTCAACTCATGGATAGCTGTGGTAACTTTTGGTAGTTAGTCCAAGAAAATGAATCAACAAGCTTGCATTAATACTTTCTGTATAGACTCAAAAAAAATAAAAAATAAAAAAATCAACTTTAACCAAATATCAGCTTTGAGTTATTTACAGCAGCAAGTAATTTTATTTTGTGAATGTTGTGTTGCAAAACACGTGGGGAGTTTATGCTTTGGAGTAGGCTGTTTAAATAAACTTTAATTTACCATCCTTGAAACATATCGTCTGCAAGAAAAAAACAAAACAAAAAAAAGCTTCAAAGTAAGAGAAAAATGTAATCAATCTTTATTTTTTATTTAAGTTTTATTTAAGTTTTCTACTTCACCGGTGAAAGAGGTGCACTGCATTTATGATCAGACATGATCAGAAAGAAATTTACTGACTTAACAAGTAGAGATTCTTAATGTATTTCCAATATGGCAAAACCTTTGTACTTTAGTTAAAAGACTAAAAATGATGTGTTATAGGACATGTGTTAGGACAGCAGCAGCACCACAAAGTTAAAAGTTAAGCAAGTTACACTGGACAATAATTAAAAGCATTTCCTTGATTTCACAGTTGTTTTCCCTCCAGACTTTAATGTGTCTCAACAGATCAAACCACATAGTTTAACCATCTGTCATTCTTGTTTCTTGGAAATACCACTCTGTTCTGACTGAGTCAGTCTTCTTCCTGAGACTGAAAGCCGCTGCTAGTGCTGTCAAACGTTGCAAGCTAAACTAAAAGTAGGAGGTCCGTCACTGCAAATGATGTTGGAGGGAGGTGGCTTTTGTCGCCACCCTCACTACCTGCTAAGAAAGTATGTCCTTGAATAAAACAACTCTATAAACTGAAGGCCAGAGAGTCCACAGTGACATTGGTCTCACCTGAATCTCCCCTTCAGTAAACTTTAAGACAACCTCAGTGTCGAGGTCACTAAATATTAGATACACATTCAGGATTATTAAAGTGGGCGAATTAAAACCATACTAATTTATTTGTTTTTGGACAAAACAGATTGTATTTCTATGGAGGAAAAAAAGGTGTCATGTTGGCAGATGTTCCTATAATTACGCTGCCCTTATTGATCGACACTTTATATACACAAAAATATAAAGACGTGAGAAAAGGTCTGTTTTTTTAAATCACTTCATTGAATTTAGAGGTCACTTAAATATTTTTGCGGTGTTTACAAACAGATGCAAACCTGATAAATCACAATCTTGGGTCGTTTTTAAATGTTCCTTAAATCTACTTAGAAAATATTTGATTCACATGCCATCGTATGGTCATATTAAAATTCAACCCAAGACTTTAGAATAGCTAAGTATTTTTCTAACACCTCTGACAGGTGGTTAACTAGAATTTTTAAAAATATTTTTGTTTCACATTCCTTCCAAATGGCAAAAAGGAGGTTGAGCATTTAGACAAGCCTTTTTTTGTGTGCAAATATTCGAATTTCTATCAAATCTCTAAAAAAACTGAACCAACTAAATGGTTAAAAAGTTCAAATTTTGAATACAAAGTGGGTTTAAAACTCCAGTGTTTTGTCACAGAAGAAAAAAATATAATTTGAAAATACATCTTATGTTTGCAGCATTCCTCAAACTAAAAGTGCCTAGTAGTTTGAATGAGCTAAATGTTGTCAAACCAGACCTAAAGCAGCCTCAAGGTTAGAAACTGATTGATTCTTAACAAAACCTTTAGAGTCCAAAAAGATTAAATCTGGGTAGAGCAGATTTAGTAATCTAAGAGTAAGATTACCAGATGAAATCTACGATTTTGCGTTAAATTGAGGAGATTAGACAGCAGCTGCTGTTGTTTTCTATGTAGGATGCGCTCTGTATACATAAACATCCACAGCTGGACCAACAGCAACACTTTGTTTGCATCATCATGAGACTGGACAGACTTTACCTGCCGGGTGGTTGTAGAAGGGTCTCAGTTTGGCGGGCAGTATGTGCTCGATCCGGTCCAAAATCCTGTGGTAGGACGCCCTGAGCGCAGCCATGATCAGACCTATTCAAACTAAGAAGCTAGCTAGCTATAAAACTGTTCGCTTGTCGTTTATCTGCGTTAAGCGGCCGTAACGTGGAACTAAACGTTTCTTAATGTGGTTGAAACGAAGGGTGGGACAGTTTAGAGACCAGAGAGGATGCTACCGTCCTACTGACGACCTTTCCCCGGCAGAAGCTGCTGCTGCTAGCTGTCAGTAGCTTTCCCCTGACCGCCACGACGAGGTGACTTTCTGTTCGACTGTGCCTTCCGCGTGATGGGCGGGTTTACGCTGATCCAGGCTCCTGATTGGTGCGGACGGTGACAGCTCTAATATGATTGGCTGACGATCGGGATCGTTAGGTTTCCCTCAAAATTTACCAGAGGGGGTGGAGACAAAGCTTATTAAAATATTTACAGTATTACAGTTATTTTTTTAGTATTATAAATATGATCGCTTTTTTATTTCAATTAATTAAAGGGGAACACATATCCTTTACATTATAGCAACATTTCATAGGAGCGTATTTGTGATTTTCTAACAGAAAGCGAAGGGAAAAAGTATGTGTGGTTTGTTAAATTTTTTTCCCTCCACAAATAAAATCTGAAAAATTTTAGATAATTTTGTATTAACCTCACAGTTAATATTTTAGGACCTATCTTCACTGCACTTAAAGGTGCAAGACAAGAGAAATATCCATGCAGTGTGATTGTGTCATCACATTGTTGTACTGTGAATAAATCAATTAGGAAGATGAGCTTTTATCTCAATAAACATTTTTTCATGCAGGCCAACCTTCATATAAATGCAATACTTTATATTTGCTTAACATGATTTTTTTCCCCCAAGGAATGTACAGCAGTTCGAGTTGTATAGAATTGGATTAATATTTAAATACAGAAATATAAGTAAGAATAAAAAAGAAACCCAAATCAGTAGTGTCATGGTAATTTTAAAGGTGCTATGATAAATCATTGGATAGACAAATCTTTGCATGAAATAAGGTTTGCATAAACCCTTGCATAAACTAAGGGGATTGAGAGTCAACAATGCATTAAGATTTCATTTTGCATGTAAAACATAATCTTTATAATCTTTTGTGCACTGTAATAATGACAGAGTTTCTCTTTTCAAATGTATTTTTGATGTATTTTTGTTTGAAACAGAAATTTTATTTGCATTATTTTTTATTGTAAATGTTTGTATGAAGGAGGCAGTTTGCACTTTGGTTAAATTGATAGAAACCCTTAATTTATTCTCCTGTAATCAGTTTTATTCATAAGACCACACAGAGTATTTCAGGTTCAGAAAGTAAAAGCATGTAAAGAGGTTAGTTTCAACCATTTGTAATTACAATTTATAGCATAGACATAAAATAAAAATAATCTAGGGTCGTTCATAAAATAAGTATACTAATAATTATTGCTCTCAATTTATTTAAATACATTTTCAATGTGTTTTAGTATATATAAGGTAGAGTTTGTGTTTACAAACAATCGAACAGCAAATTTCTTTATGGCGTGTAAAACGAGCGCACCCAAAGTCTTTGTAGAAATCACGCAAACTCTCGCGTTGTTTCGATCCAGCTGACCGCTATCCGCAGAAAGAAATAAACCAGGCTAGGCTAGAGAGGCAGAGTTTGGATCTAGTGGAGCAGGAACACAGGTCGTGTGGATTCTGAGGGACGGACGGAGGGTTCGGACTGGGGCGACCCCCCCCTCCTCCTCCACGGCGATGCTGAGGGCCGCCAGCAGCTAACAGCGACACGACAGAAGGAGACCGAAGTGGATGGAAACCCGACAAAAGGCGACGTCGTCCGAGGAAGGGTTAGCTTAGTTTAGATGTTATTGTCAGCTAAAAACAAACCCACTTGGTCGCAATGTCCTGTACTGGGAACCTGGTTTGGGATGTTAATAGACGTCTAATTGGAATCGGCGAGCCTAACTCCATCAGAACCAACTATTTAGGTAAGAGCAGAACAACAAGTCGCTAAGCTAACGCTGACATATGTGACAGGACGTGTTGATTTGTTTGTTTTTGGAGGAATCGGAAGCGCAGCAGTTTGACTCCTGCTCTAGTCAAATGAAGTTGTCAATTGAGTGTTTTGCTTTCTAATATCCATCAGTTTAGCCTCTTTATTGAAATCGAAACAGGTCAGCTGCTTTCCAGAACACTTCTGAATAAAGTATAGATTTAACCCATAACAATGTGTCAGTGTGCCAGGATGCAGATCCCATTACTTTGTGAAGATCCAGTTTCATCATCACAGATCATTTAACTACTTGATGCATAAGCAATAAATCCAGATCATTAACGATATATATATATATTTTTAGCACCTTTCAAAACAGAGTTGCTAAGTGCTTTACATGCATTGCATAAAAAAATCAAAACATCTTATCATTCTAATCTAATCAGAACATTTAAATGGTATACAATAAAAAGAATGCATACAATTAACAGTTTAAAGTAAAACACAGAAATTAGGTTTTAAAAGAGATTTAAAAGCAGACATTAAAGATGTGCACTGGCTATATTTTCCAAAAGGGGACAAAAGTAGTTGATGTTTTGCTACAATAGGGCTTTTGCCAGAGGTCAAAGCTGCTAAATATCCCTATTTATCTGCACAACTTACATTTTGTGAATGAAGAAGTAAAAGAAGGAAAAAAAATAATTTAAAAAAACCTCTTTAAGCATCTTATCAAACAAAGCATCCCCGATCACTGATTAGAAATATATAAATATGGGGGTTATGCAGGGGCTCACTGGTATCTTATTAGAATTGAAGATGTCCTTCCATGATAAAACAAATGTCTCTTAGAAATACTAGAGCTATACAAGCATCCAAAACCAGTGAAGCGGATTTCAATGAATGAAAACAAATCTGAGTTTGCATTGGCATACCTCATTTAAAGAAATAGAAATTAGCAAAATGATCCAATTTCCCTTGACTTCTGAGGCTGGCTTAAAAATTTGATGATTAGATGAAATTACATTTAAAATAGTGCAAAGGTGGGGTAATATAGCATTCCTTTGGTATTATAACTCAATAAAATACAACGGTTATATGGTTTTCTGCAAACATGTTCAAACAAAATTCATAATATGAGCAGCTTTTATTAATAACAGAAAGGCAACGAGTATCAATATAGCAGAAATACTATGAGATTGAGATTGAGTTTCAATAATATGATTAAATAATATTATATAATAAATGTATTTGCTTTTATAAATTGATATTTTGACCTGTAGATTTAAGCAAAATTTTTCAGAAAAATTGTTTCTAGTAAATTAACTTTTTTCTGGAAAACGTTTTTGCCATTCTTTTCTATGTTTATCTGCTTTACGGAGAAGTTCCTTAAAACATTAAAACCTTCAGTGTCAAGTGGAGCTCTCTAAAGGTCAAAACTACATGTTTACATTTTCAAATATCTCTAAATGACCAGGGCAAAGTGTTTCAGCAACAGGTGGGGGTGGGGTATTGCTTCTCATCACTGCGGAAAGGAAATATCAGGTTTCTCAGACATTTTCCATTTTCCTCTCTGGCATCTCTTTAACAAGCTAAAACAATTTAATGGAAAATTTGAACAGTTAGCAGACTTTTAACCAGCTTCATCATGTCACTTGTTAAGAATCCAGCTTGTTTTATCGCTTGAAATCTTGTTCTAATCTTATGAGTATGTCTTTACTGATATTTTGTATATAGGGACAGTTTTTCTTTATAAATCTCATTTTAAGGGTTAAAATATGTAAAGCTCACAGTTTAAAAACACTAACTCTGATTGCAATTCCAGTTTAAGGCTCTTTTAATTATTTAAAATAAAAGCCTGTTTTTTACTTTCATTCCTTTTTTCGTTTCTGCTTTGGTTGGATGAGCAACGCAGATCACCCTGAGCAGCGGAAACCGTAGAGACGGGCGCTGTCAGGAAAGCAGTCCATCTTAAGGACTTGTGTCAAACTGTCCCCACAGAGGCCTGAATGAAGAGGTGGAGCTGGTGCCTCAGTGGTTTAGTCAGTGCTGTATTTAGCCTGGCTGAGATAAACTCAGAGCTGTGTTTGTGCACGGGCAGAGGATGCATGCAGGGATGTGTGGGTCACACCTCCTATCAGATATATTTAGCGTTAAGAACAGTGGGAGGTAACAAGCTGTGGTGCATCAGAAGGTGAAACGAGGAGATCAACAGCAAAGGTTAAACAATGGTGGGGTCTAAGTTGGTTCAAATCTTGAAGGTTTGGTGAATATTTAAGGATTATATTATATATTAGCTTCATGCAACAGTTGAACGGATTAAGAATGTTCGTGTTTAAAGATGTCTTTAGCTCCTCTTAGTAACTTTATGTTTTTTAACCCCCATTAAAACCAAATAAAATGGCCTTTTTGTAACAATGACTGGAGGAGGGAAAATTTAACATAGTTTTACAAATCTGGGCAGCAGGCTTTTAGCTAGCCAGCTGTACAGCTTTATATTGTACGGCCTTTTTTTCCACCAGAAACTTCGCTCAATTATTAAAAATCTGCCGATCCGATTGTCACTAACCGATCCATCCCGGAAGTACAATCCATACCATCAGCTCATTTGTGCAACCAGATATACATCTTGGTCGCCCTCGATTTTATTTTGTAAAATAGACCTAAATTGCGTTTTCTCTTCCCAAAATTATTAAGCATACTAAACTATAGTGTGTTAAAGGTTAATAACGATATCCTGATAAATAAATACGGTAGCTTAAAATCCTTTCTGCTTTATCACTCGTCTGTGCCTTATTGGTATCAGAAATGCAATCCTATTCTACTTCCAGGAGCTAAGATTTTCGGCTTTGGATTTAAACATAAATCTAGTTTTATTTAGTTTAATTTTTTCCTATGGTATTAACTTAATGGTATACTTATCTAAAGAATAAAAAAAACTAAAAATTAGATAATCGTGGTTTAATCATATTTAGCGGACTGCTCTGAGCATGTCCGATGATGACGTCAGAAAAGCAGTTTAACTGAGAAAATGTTCAAAGATGTAGTGTAGCATTCTTTAATGTTTTAAGGATAGAAATAAGTACTTTTAGTACCTTATTACATTATTTAAGACGACCTGGATGAATATCTGCTTGCAGATGCACAAATGAGCAGATCGTAAGGATCTTGCTTCCGGTGCGGATCGGGTAGTGACAAGTAGCCTCAAATAACAAAAATGGTGCAGGAACCGTGCAGGGAGGCAGAGTCACTTGACCAAGTGGGGGCGAAAAGTATAGATCATCTGTCCGAAAGGTCAGTTGACTGAATTGAGTGTATTGTACACCAAACAGAGATCTGTTTCCAAACAAAATTTCTTTTTGTTTTTACACTTGTGTAAACAAAATGACAAATAAAATCTGTCTAAGTCATATAGTCCCTGCTCTGTATAAAGATTGAGGGATCCAGGGTTTAGGGCGGACGATTGGAGACAGCCTTTGTTTAGTTCTTTGTGGTTGTCTTAAAGTGATGATGCAAAGCGGATGTTTTTCCTCTTCTTGTTGCTACATGTGCTTGGCATATCTTTAAGCGTTTGTAGGACATCGTCTCCCTTGAAACCCAAATATTTACAATAAAAAATGATGTGCTGTTTTTTATTTTTTAAACTATGGCTGTGTCCGAATGTCTGCCCCAGTCTGTATAGGGCTCTATATGTGGTTACGCCATTTTAAATGAGTGTCTGATCATCCAGTGGATGAAAAAGTAGTGGACTCAAAATTTCCCACAATGCACCTCGAAAACTAGTGATCATTCATGATCACTAGATGAGCAGATATATCCCGGAATACTTTGCGAGGAGAGTGCACCTCGCAAAGCATTATGGGATTTGTTGTCGCTACCCGACAGTGGTGACAAATAACAATGATGGCGCAGGCACTGTGGAGCGAAAAGTAGCGATCATCTGTTCCTTTGATCAGTTAACTGAGTTCCCCATAAAGTCCACTATATAGTCCCCTCTCTATATAGTGATTGAGGGATTTAGGGGTTAGGGTGGACATTTGGAAACGGCCTATGAGTTCTTCTTTGGTAACATTTTCCACCATTGGTCATACTCTTAACTGTTGTAGTACTTAGCATGGAGTCTAGGCAGTGGGTGGGGATCTAATGTAGAGATCCATCAGATTGGAATTAAATACTTTCATTATTTCATTTGATTGGTCAAATACTTCATGTTTTTGTGTGATTGATAAAACTCCGATGTACAACATAAATGCAACAATAATGCATGTTCCCTTTCGCATAGGCTGTTATCACTCTGACAATTAGGTTTTTGACTTACTGTGCACTCTCACGGTGTATGCCAGTAATGTATTTTGGGAACTAAGCATCATGGGTGCTTCTAGACAAGGGGCAATAGGGGCCAGTGCTCCTCTAGAACGGATGCTGGCCCTTTTACTGAGAAAAAAAAAGCTGCAAAAATTTAAAAAAAGGTATTTTCTCCCTGAAATGGGTTATATAACCTTGATTTAAGCCGGTAGGTTAGACGATTTGCAGATAAATATGATAATTTATGTTTACAAAAAAGAAAAAAAAAAATTCTTTCAAGTGCGTAGTATCTAATTATCCTGTTTTAAGGGGCAACATCCTTCAAAATTATCCTCTTTTTGGCAGATAGTCTTATTTACTTGCACAAATTAAGGGCACTTGCGCTGAATTTTAAGAAACTTTAACTTTTTTAGATCAGTTTTTTGCAGCATAATACTAAAACAGTTTCTTATGATGATATGCCTTGATAAACAAGACCAGAAATGATTTGTCCCATAGAACAATTCCATATTTCTTCTTGATTTTACTTGAGCAATTATTGAGAAATTACAGGTCTGTAGCTCATTTAATAAACCATAAAAAGAGCTCTTGCTCTGTCCTATGTTTGTATGTCATTCTATTGCTTTTTGCCCCATGAAAAAACACCCACCCCACCCTGGCCCCCTTGGTAAATTATGTCTTAAACCACCACTTGTAAGAATTGAAGTTATATATGTTCTAAAGATATTAACACTTATGATAATGATGAAAATGGCTGATAAAAAGAATTTACAATTTAGTAATAATAAAAAAAAATGTTTTATGGACAATATAGATGCATGTAACTACAGTGAATTGACAGAAACACTGCTCATAAACTAACTGCAGCAGAGCTGCTAAGGAAAGAGATCATATTAAACTGCGTTAATATATTGCTAAACGCAGTGCAGTAACTGTTTTTAATTGCAAAATAAATGCACCAGGGAGTGTTATCACAGATCCTTCCTCCCAGCAGCTGTAAGCCTTTATAACCACCATTGCTACCAACAACCCCAATAAGTTGTTACATTCATGCTGATTTTGCACAGTTTCTATCTTGCTCATGCTGCTGTCATTTGGCACATCTCTGATGTTGCTGTATAGTGTATATCTGTTTTACATCAATAATAAGTTAGTACAAGTTCGTATTTATGTGTTCAGAATTTGCCAATCTTTAGTGTAATAAACTGTGTTGAACGGTCCAATTCTGACTCTCACATCGAACTAATTTACATGTGATTTGAGGACTGGGCTGAAAGGATCTCCCAAGTCACCCAGACTCCTGATTTAAAAAGCCATTTGTGCAAGTCCAGTTATATTTTTGAGAAAAGTCGTAGAGTTCAAAGTAGAAAGACCACATCCCTGCATGTATTTAAGAAACGTGGTTCCTTCCTTATAAATAAAATCCAAAACCTACATAAATTCAACCATTATAGTAGAGACCAACAAGGGATCGCATTGTCCTCCTGTTTTTTTAGGCAAGCAGCAGCATTATTTCTGCTAAACCAGCTGCAAACAAAACGGCATGAATAATTCAGGAAACACTACAGAATTACAAGAATTACTAATTTTAAATGTCTGTTCCAGCTCTCAGTGCTGGTTTTGAAAGCTTTCTTGTTTGCCATTTCTACAGGTAGAAGAGAATTTGTCCAGAGGCTCAAACTAGAAGCGACACTCAACGTCCACGATGGTTGTGTAAGTGTCCTGCATTTCTGAATTTTTTTTTTTTTTCCTACTTTCTTTTTTGTGTCCCGGTTTATTTTGTCCTGCAGGAAAGCACATAGTAAGTTGTTTTTCCCTTCAGTTGGTATGTAAACTGGAGCAGCTCTCTGGCTGCAGGTCAGGTGGGTTGATGCCTCTGAGAAACCTGAGGCTGACAGATCGGTCGCACAGCTCGTCACACCATCAGCCTGCATTTCAGTGCATCTAAAGCTCAACAGCAACACTTACATGACCTGCAATAGCTGCTTTATTTATTTTTTTTTATACATCAACTTTTAACTTTGTAATACAAGGTCACACACAGTGTCCTTAAGAAGTAATTGGATCACTCAAATTTTCACATTTTTGATATTCAACAGGGTACACAACAAATGTCCAAATAGAAATCTGAAAAGTGTGGTGTGCATTTTTCTCTTTATTCCTTTTCTTATAAAGGTTCTTCTAAATAAAATGCAGTACAACCTTTTTAAAGCTGATGTTGCCTTTTTCCCCCATTTATATATTAAAAATCACAAATCAAACAAAACATTATCAAAAGATGGTTATGTGATCTCAGTGAATGGCTGCTGAATGCCTTAATGAATCCCTAAAGGCATGCACCTAATGCCGACCAAAAATATCAGCCAGCCGATTTATGGGTCCATCTCTGATTAGAAGCCTCTAAATCTGTAACCAGTTGCCTTGTCTGTCATAAACTCTGAAAAATCATCAATTGCTCTGTGAGTAAACATGATTCCCACAGCTCTGGTGTAGAAATCTCCCCACAGAACATCTTTCAGATCCTCTTTCAAGTTTCCTATAAGTCAAGTGGAGGACACAGTGGGAACAATGTGCTCTACAGTCAGATGAGAGCAAATTAAACTTCCTGATATGCATAAAAATAACTGTTTCTGACAGACCCTTTGAACTGTGCAACACCCTGAACACATCAGAAACCTGGAAGTGGTGGCAGCATCATGCTGTGGGGAATTACTCAGAAAACAACAGACAACATCAATGATAATCAGAAAAATAACAGACTCATTTATAATAACCAATGTTTTACATGAACTTCAAAAATGTTCTAAGATCAAATAAAATAATAATTTAGAGACAGGAAACCTCTGCATGCTCAGCTGATATTTATTTTTTGGACTTTATAGCAACACTGCCGACATCACTCCTACTCCTGTAGCGCAGCGTCTGCTACTCTGCTTGCAGACGCTTTTGTATGTGGGATACAAATGCTGCTGCATAGAAATACTGGAGGCGAATACAGTAGATGTGTGCTTCAATGAACATGCTTATATCAGAGATTTTAGATGCCGCCTATTATAATCCTATTACAGGTACTCGTTTTTTGCTGATATCAGACAGATTCCTGATAACAGTGATTGGGACATTAGTAATTAAAGATAAAGATGAAATAATTAGTTGGTACCCAATCAGTTCAGGATTGGTGAAAAAGTAAAAACCAAGATTCCTACTTAAGCTAGAAATGGAAACATTCGAAGATAAAGTATTTTAAGTGAACAGTTAAGCTACTAAAATATGCCTTTTTTCTGTAAAAAAAAACAGTTTCTCTACCAGATCAGATGGATTCTGTTTTTATTTTTTCCCCGTGTCATCTTGAAAATGGGATGTTCAGTGGTGATGAGTCAAACATGACAAGATGGAACCATGATGCCGCTCACACTGAGTCTGGTTCTGCTGGAGGTTTCTTCCCATTAAAAGGGAGTTTTTCCTCTCCACTGTCGCTTGGTGTGAGGGATTGCCTTCGAGTCAATGAGTCGATGCAATCAACTGGTTTTCCTGAGACAGAAAACTTTGAACCAATCTGACTGGATGATCTGGTTGAACTGTAAAGTGCCTTGAGATGTGTTTTGAACTTGCGCTATATAAATAAACTGAATTGAATTAAATCAGCTAATAAGTGTGCGTTGGTTTTCTGCTGCAGAGCTGTGGGGTTGTTATGCAGTCCAGCTCTTGAGTAATCTCACTGATGGCTGGTTTGTCACGACGGCGAGCTGAACGAGGCTGCAGGTCCTGATGAAATATTGATCCAAAGAGTGGAAACAAAACAAAGAGCTGATGCTTTTTTCTGCTGTTACTGGGAACATAGAACCTCAGAGTGATTCCTTTTCAGTTGGATCCAAGTGTAAAATCAGAAGCCAGATTTATTCTTTCTATTCTTTTTTACATTTTTTTTTATCTGTTCTCAAAAAAATATGTGAGCAAAAATGGTTCATTAGTTATAAGAGAGGTTAGAAAATGCAGTAAAGCTCCTTGTTTAGATGCAAAGAGAAAAAGAAAAAAGGTTATGATTTTATTTCATCTTATTATTTTCTCTTACTGTCAGAATGCCACAATGAGAATTCCCCCCTAAAGGTGTCCAGATAAGTTTCTGTCAGTCCTTTAAACCGTTTTATCCTTTTCATCTCCTCTCAGGTCAACACGATATCCTGGAACGACACGGGTGAATATATCCTATCGGGGTCAGACGATACCTTTCTGTTCATCACAAACCCCTACAACAAGAAGGTAGGTCATAACCTGGGAGGTTTTACCACCATTACTGGAACACCTGAAATAAATCACTACCAGGAAACAGATCTCCGTCCCTGCCACATTTTTCAAACCATTTACTCTTTAGTTGTTCGTTTTCCTTTTTTTTTTTTACTTATTCATGAAAAGCTTTATATACCAGGTAAGTCAGCATTAAAAATAACAATCTCTTTTTCAAGGACAAAAAAAATGCTTACAAAACAATACCGTAATTTTCAGACTATTAGCTGCACCTGAATATAAGCCGCAGAAGCTAAATTGCATGATTTGTACATATACAAGCCACACCGGACTATAAACCGCAGGTTTTTTATGTTTAATGTCCGTCTTTCTCGCTGTCGTTCTGTCTCGTACCACTCGCGGTAGAAGTCTGGTTCCGGAGGACCTCCGCATTCCCCCGCGCGCGGCTACCGTACTTGTGTGTTGAAGCAAATGTGACGTCAACATGGTGGATGGTAAAATCCATAGATTTAGGTATTACCCTAGTGGCCGTTAGCTGTAAAAGTCCATAGATAAGCCGCATTGTTATATAAGCCGCAAGGTCGAAAAATGGGGAAAAAGTCGTGGCTTATAGTCCGAAAATTACGCTACATGTTAATTGTATATTATCTGTGAAGACTATTAGGGGGTAAAAATCTGGCTGTTAGTAGAAGGTTACATTACACAGAATTAAAATCGCTGACAATTTAAAGAAGGACATCAGTCTAGCTTTAAAATCACTTAGTTCATCATAGCATTTCTTGTATTTTAAAAATTACATTTCTTTTCTACATTACATTTCTAACTTGTATCTATTAAATTATGTACGAAATGCATAAAATGTAGATTCAGTTTTAAAGATCGAAATGCATCCTGTGTCTTAGAGTTGTGGGAGTTCATGAAATGATGACAATAGATATAGCTGGCAGGTTATTAAAAATAAAATGTATTTAATTTTCAGGTATATAGGTCTCACTGTTACAGGTTTTATTTGTTATATTGAGGCACAATATCAATCCCTATATCACTGGTTTGATTGGAGATTTTCCATCAGCGGGAGACTTCATCTGATTCTAGATCAGTCCTTTTCATCTTTATTTACTAACAGATAAACCAGGAAATTTCATGTCATAAACCTTTAGAAAACGCTGCACTAAAAACTAAAAAATCTATTTTTTTTATTTACTCTGATTAAATATCAGCCACTACATGTTTTTTATATAGTTTATGTAAACATCTTGGTTCCATTGTATCCTTAAAATAAAAGTTAAATAGTTTGATTCATCTGTAAATTGATACTGTGCGGACCTTTAACATTTGGAAACAAGTTATTACTGCATCTGTAGATTAAGTTTAAAGCATCTGTTTTATTTATGTTTTTCTTGTTCTTTTTTTGTTATCTTCAGATTAAGAAATCCATCCGATCAGGTCATAGAGCGAACATCTTCAGTGCAAAGTTCATGCCTCACACCAACAATCAGGAAATCATCTCCTGCTCTGGAGACGGCATCATCTTCTACACCCACACCGAAAAGAGTGCAGAGTACAACCGACAGTGTCAGTTCACCTGCCATTATGGAACGGCGTACGAGGTGCTAAATGTTGATGCTAATGCTCCTTTAAAACAGTTTCTTTTGTATGTTTTTTTTTCTAAATATATCCTCTCTGGCTGTTTTTCTCCCCCCTTCAGATTATGACTGTACCAAACGATCCCTACACATTCCTGTCGTGTGGGGAAGATGGCACAGTGAGGTGGTTTGATCTGCGCACAAAAACCAGCTGCACTAAGGAAGACTGCAAAGATGTACGCCGATTATTGGGTTTTCTTTATTTTATTTATGGCAAAATGACAGGACATATTTATCTCCACATCGTTACAGCAGCAAGACGGTGGCTTTCATTTATCCTGTCTGGTTAAAGGTATAAACATAGACAGATTTATTTTGTCATTTTGTCTACACAAGTGTAAAGAAAAACAAATTTAGTTAAGAACAGCTCTCTAGACAATTTAATTTTTTAATAGTTTTTTTTTATTATTGTTGTGGATTTTTTTTGCGAGACGTGCCGTCTTCTCTTCTTAAAAAAAAAAAAAAAATGGACATGCACAACCCTGCACCTGCTCCCGAAGGGGGAATGCCTATTAAACATGTGTGAGAGCGTGAACAAGCCCATTTCTCCTCGTGCACACTCTGTTTAGAAGTTGCTATTCTCATAGCTCATACAAGCTCACTATACCCGAAAGTCCATCCTAAACCATAAATCCCTCAATCACTATATAGAGCGGGGACTATATAGTGGACTTTATAGTGAACTCAGTTAACTCACCGTTTGTACAGATGATCACTGCTTTTTGCTCCCCATTGGTCGTGTAACTCCTCCTAGAGAATGAGCATGTAGGACGGCCCTACTTAAACATTTCACCAGAATGATTGACAATTAGGACGACTACTTATTTTGATGATCCACCCAGAAATAAAAGATCGTCCTCTATACCTTTAATACAGTTTTTTGAAAATCTTGAGAGTATTGAAGGTTTAGCTTTTAGCTCTGCTGTCTCTCTTCAGCTAACCATTTCCCTGACTTTAGTCCAGGCGACTTTGGATTGCTGCCGTCTCATGTTTCATTTTTCAGATCAGGTCCTGTGCCCGTCAAACTGCTTGAATAGTTTTACCAGGTGGTTCCAATGCTCCTGATTTACCCTGTAACTGTTTGTTAACACAAAAAACTGTTGTTTTTTATTTGATTTTTTTTTTAGCTCAGTTGAAGGTGTAAGTCCATTCTTTCAAAAGACATTTGACAAAAAAATTTAAGTATCAAAAAATGTGAAGCTGGAGACAAATTAGCAGGTTTATTATTTAATTGTACTCAAAATGCCCTATTGCCGGGGTATTTATACCTTTGCTTTTTACCTGTTCTTTGATTTAATCCTTATGTTTTATTATGAGCAAGTTTTCTAATAATACGGCTGCTTAAAATGGGGTAAAATATGAGATTTTGATACTATTAGTTAAAAAAACACTAAGATGAATTACGATAAACCCAATTTGTCCAGAAATGTGTGAATCAAAGGTAGAATGAGAAAACCAGAGGATTAATGTTCATGTTAATGTACTTGAAATGTAAATTCTTACAAAATATTGGATCCAGGTAATCTTACAATAGTAATACAGCAAAATTCTACTGTATTTCGATATGCATTTCTACCAAAAATCTGCTCTATTTGGCATATTTCTCTCCTTTAGTTGTCAGAGAGTAAAGACTATTTAATTGTAGCCATTTTCAAAGCAATGAGGGTAAAAAACCTTCTACAGTTTGATCAAATTAGAGAAGAGAAACACCTTTTACTGTTACAGTTTTTATATTTTTTACCTGTATAGTGGTTACAAGAAAAACAAAATGGGGAATCAGATGATGTGTTGATTCTCTCTGCTGTAAAACCCAACAGCTGGTTTGACGCCCTGCCTGCAGCAGGTTCTGCACGGTTACAGAAGAACTAGAGCATAGAAGCAACTCTGCATATTGTAAATGTTGATGATATAAGTTTTCAGTTTAAATTGAGGGAAGTTTAAAGAGACGTAATTACTGTTGTGCAGATGTGCATACTAGAGCCTACAAACAGGTCTTTAACATTTTCTTTTCAATATGTTTTACTTTCTTCGATTCCAGGACATTCTGATTAACTGCCGGAGAGCGGCCACCTCCATATCCATCTCCCCTCTGGTGCCGTACTATCTGGCGGTGGGATGCTCGGACAGCTCTGTGCGGATCTATGACAGGCGCATGCTGGGAACCAGAGCCACGGGTACGATGCTGCCGTTTGCTTTCTTTGTGTTTATGTTGACATCAGATGAGCATTTCCCTTTCCAATATGCCTTTTCTCTGATGGCTTTCAGAACTGTTTTAACATTTTTAAATGGCCACTCAGTGTATGTTAGAATATATCAAATGAATAAAGCCAGAGCACCTGTTTTACCTTTGATTTAGAGTTTTTTTAGGGAACTGATCATCAATGCGTCTTCGTCTGTTACGCAGGTAACTATATGGGCCGGGGAACGACAGGCATGTGTGTGCGGTTCGTACCTTCCCACCTGTCCAACAAGTCGTGCAGGGTGACGTCTCTCTGCTACAGCGAGGACGGTCAGGAGGTGCTGGTCAGCTACTCCTCCGATTATATTTACCTTTTCAATCCCAAAGATGACCAGGCCAGAGAGCTTAAGGGCCCATCAGAGGAAAGGAGGGAGGAGGTGAGATCACTGGATGTGCTCCAAACATCACAGAAATGCATCACGTGATACTTTTGCAGCCGTTTATTTCTCTTTCCTTTGCCTCTCTCCAACGCTCCTGTCTTTAAAATCCATTTTTTTAATAAGTCTTTTAAACTATCCATCCATTTGTTCTTTCCTCCACCCCTTTATCGACAGATTTTCTGTCCATCAGATGGACCAGATGAAATCCAAATAGGATAGAAAATGTTTGTTAAAGCATGTTTAGTTAAGTTTACAGGGTTTTCACAGGCTTTGTCATCAGTGAGGCGAAAAAATACTTTTGTAATCGTGTTCTGCTTGCTGGTTAGTGTAACTCTTTGATCAGTTTAAACATGTAACTGATCCTACAATTGGCTAACTTTGAATCTTTTCCTTCTAACCACTTCCTCACTGAAAGCTGTAGTCTCATCCTGTTGGTGCTTAGGTATGATTTGGTCGTTGATTAGAATACGATTATATTTTTCAGTTTGAGTCCCTGACAGCCCGTCAGGGTTAGGGTTGTTCGTCTGAATGTTCTTGATCAGTGTGCCAAGTTTTCAGCTGTGTCGAGGTGCGCACACTCACACATTCCTTTCCAAATACAGCGACCGACACAGACGGCGTTCCTCAACCCACTTACATAGTCTGGGCTGAGGCTTACAGTGGTGGGGGGGCAGCACCCAGGAAAAGCCTGACACCCCTCTTATCTGTGCTTCTCCTCCACCTCTGACCTCATTAGCTCCTGGTCCTTTCCTGTCTGACGTCCTTCTCCTTGTTCAGCCTGTGCTTCTTTTCACCACCTGTTCAGACTCGATGACATTTCCTTTGCAAAGCAGTTAATAGTCCCTCCACTAAGACCCCTATTTTCTATTTCTGGCTCTCAGCCTGTTGTTCTTCAAATTATCCAAGGGACTGGAAAAAGGGGGCAACCTTAGTCATGCTACCAGAGAGGTGGGGGCACTTTGGAGAGGACACTGCCAGAGTAGAGGAGTGTTTTGCTTCGGCAGCAGAGTTATTTTTGACTGTACTTTGACTGTGTGGGTGTTTCCACAGCTAAGGCAGCCTCCGGTGAAGCGCCTGCGTCTTCGAGGGGACTGGTCCGACACCGGACCCCGAGCTCGTCCTGAGAGCGAAAGAGAAAGAGATGGTAAGATCACAGAATGTTCTGCTGCCAGTTTAAAGCAGAATCACATTTCAGGGAACATCTGAGAAGGGACCTTATCCTTCAAGGCTGCCCAGATGCTTTTATTTTGTAAGTTCCCAGCAGCATTCCTTAATAAACTTTTAATTATCCCCTCTCTAATGTACTGTGATAAAAAAACAATAGGAAACCATAAGATGATTTACTGTGGTGTCCATTAGAGCCTAAATAATTGATCCCTTTACAACATTTGGAAGAAACAGAAACTGCCTAATAAGATGTTAAGGTGTTTCAACTGATTCCCCTTAACCATGAATTTGAACTGATCAGGTGGTGACTTCACCTTTCAAGCAGGATTTTTATCATGGACAAATGTGATTAAAATTACCTACTAAAGTAACTAGAAAAACGTTTTAAACCAACAATCCTAAATAGTTAACTGTAGAATAAACTTTTTGCCCAGGCTTCTGCACATAGAGTTTGACTTCAAATTTACTTTGCTCTCTTAATTTTTTTACAAAAATGAAGGAGATCTGAGTAATTTACTTCACAACTCTGTGTTAATTTAAAGATCCTCTGTTCTTGTTATGCTGCTGTTGATCCGCTGCTGATTGGGCGTTCAATTAAGCAGATTTTCTGACTTTAGCCATTGATGGCCAGCATTTTGGAGCAGACTTGTTTGTAAGTTTGAACTAGTTTTATATGTCCTCTAAACCACACGGCATCACAAATAGTTCATACAGGGACAGATGTAAAGATGCACACCCTTTATTTTTTGACAAAATGTTGGTTGTTGGTTTAGTTTTAAAAAGGATAGTCCACAATTTTCCACCCCAAGATGCGTTTGCAGTCATTGTCCTTTAGGAACATGCAGTTAAATTCAATATCAGCCGTCTCAGTCTTGACTTGAGAATTTTTATTCTTTCTTCTATTCATCTTGGGCAATGTAAACAGAACCACTAGCATCAACACAGTCCCTCATGGTATGTTCAGACCGCATGCGATAGTAGCAGCAAAAAAGCGCCGGCTGCTTCATTTTTGATGCTTATTCACATTAAGGTCTGATGCGCCTCAAGAGCATCCTTCATGCTCCTGAAGCTCGTCTGGTAAAGTGTGGTAAAGTGTATACAGATGCGTCTGATGCTTCTGCTGCTCCTGTGTTCAAAGGCAGAGAGCGGCTTTGCTATATTTGCTTTAATAAGTGGGTAGAAAATAGATTTGTCTTTAAGTGAGAAAGTCCACCTGAGAACTTCATCTGTGCAGTCAGTTCATCACGATTACGATCCTGCCTTCAAATATTATTTTGCTGTTGGACTACAGCACGAAACCCCTGTACACATATGGTGCTCTGTCACTTGATATCCCCATCGACAGCAGCCTCTGACTCAGTCGCGTCTTTGGGCTTTTCCGCTACTGTTCATTGCGGCTGGAAGGTTTTTTTTCATGTACGTAATCCAAACTGCAGGCACCAGAATAATAAAAGCCGACATATTTTGCTGCCAGGTTTCGACATTTTAAGTTCATTTAGGCATTAATAAAACTGTTTCAGTGAAGTGATCATAGTGATCTGCATCAGCAGTGCTGTGTCCGTCTCCTTGCCAGCTCCCAGATCAGCTTCTACGATCGGTTCCTGTGACCCGTAAAGCAGCAAAAGTACATTTTTTCCAACTCCGGCATCTGCTGCTTGTGAAGCAAATGCCCAGATTCTCATGAGGTGATGCTTCAGATGCTCAGATGCGTCAATAAGCGCTGCTCCTGCTGTTTGAAATGCGCTGCAGGTCTTTTTGATGTGCCATGATGCACATCAACCATTGGCTTTGCATGTAAACCAGCTGCTTCTGCTGCTTCAGTAGCGTACGGTCTGAACATAGCATTACTATAAATCTACCACCACCATGCTTATAATTCTTTCCAGTGCTCCTGGGTTTGGAAGCTTCATCTCGACCTGTCCAAACCTACTTTTTGACCGACGTTCAGTTCATTTTATAGCATTATAATCCCTAACGGTCTGATGGGGTTTGGTTAATGGTGCCATAAAATCTAAGAAAAAAGATCCAGACGGATATTCTATGCATTATATGATCTATAGAACTACATTACTCATTAAGTGATTAATTACTTCTACAGCTTGTAAATTAGTACTTTGATTATATAGTATAGTATAATATAGTATATAGTATAGTAAGTCAGTTTGATAGTGTAGTTAAACAGGTTTTAAAAAATATGTTACCTCCATTAAATGAGCGTTTTGTGTTTTTTGGATACTTTTTCTATCCTTAAAAGCTGAACTGGACTCTTAAGACGTAGAACTACAGTAGTTGGAGGGTAAATTCCATGAATGTTTCTCACTTAAAGGAGAAGTTCGGTTTTTTACACTTTAAGCCCATTTTCTGTAGTGTCCAGGATGAAATCGAATGATCGACACCAAAAGTTTGACAATTGCTCCTGTCTCTGCTTTTTGGCTCATTTAGAATCAACCCCTGGCTGCTTTAGAATGGCTTGCATAGAGCATGTCCGATAATGTCCTTAAAACAACCTTAAACGTTCTTTTTTTTAAATATGCTACTCACCGTGTCGTCAGCGCTGTTCAATGACGTTCCAAAAAAAGTTTCGTGAAGAAAAACCGTTCCTGTCTTGTTTTATTTAGCATTTTGTAAATCCCATTGAGTTCTGTAGGAATAGTCAATATTCCGCTGCCACCGGAAACGGAAATGGGGCCTGTTTACACAGTTGTAGTCTTTTCGCTTCACTCTGCGTACTCCGACGTCGAGGTGCTAACGTCTCTGTTAAACACTTTAAAAAACTCTGAAAATGGAATACGAAAGGTGGATTCTTGATTCTCGACGTCTGAGTACACAGAGTGAAGCGAAAAAAAAAAGAACGTTTAAGGTTGTTTTAAGGACATTATCGGACATGCTCTATGCAAGCCATTCTAAAGCAGCCAGGGGTGGATTCTAAATGAGCCAAAAAGCAGAGACAGGAGCAATTGTCAAACTTTTGGTGTCGATCATTCGATTTCATCCTGGACACTACAGAAAATGGGCTTAAAGTGTAAAAAACCGAACTTCTCCTTTAAGAAAGGAATCCTGTGAATAGAATACTGAAAAAGAGTTGGAAACGTCTCAAAGTCAGCAGTTACCCCTGTGATTGTTTTCCCTACTACCATGAGTTTCCAATATTTAACTTTTTTCACAATATTCCAATCTTCTAAGACAGAATTTGTGATTTGTTGTTATAATTCATAATTATCAACATTATTATTAAAGAGTGAAATATAAATATTTCACTCTTTATGTTTCTCACTCTGAAATGAAGTTAAAAAAGTATTTTTTTTTTATGTACCTGTATGTTACTTATTATTCTGAGATGTTTTTCCCTCTGGTTTTAGGGGAACAGAGTCCGAACGTGTCTCTGATGCAGAGAATGTCAGACATGTTGTCCCGGTGGTTTGAAGAAGCCACTGAAGCTCAGAGCAGCAGAGGAAGCCGACCTCAGACCCGGTCCAGAGGTGATGCCTCGCCTTCAAGCTTCTGCAAAACAAAAGCTTATTTTAGTATGAATAGTATAGTGTGGGAAAAAGACTCCCAACTACTGAAGATATCCAACCAGATTAAAAGGAAAACCATTAATTTATGAAGTATTTTAGTTTGAACCTTTGTCTTCTATTTCAATCCTGCCAAATTAATTTAAGTATTGATTATTAACCTTGTTCATGATTTATGAACTGATTGTCTTTTTTTCAGGAACGGCGGTCCGACCTGAGGGCTCCTTAAACACCCCTGCTGCTCCGGCTACAGACTCCAACCAGGAGTCCAGCGCCCCTGAGAGGCCTGTGGCGACTGATTCCCCAGAGGTCCCAGCCAGTCCTGCTGCCGCTGCCAAAGCCCCCGTGTCCAAATCCACTTCCTCCTCCTCTTCCTCAGGGTCTTCATCAGCAGTCACTGCACCTCCTACTTCCGGCTCTACTTCAGTAGAGAGCTCCGCCCCTTCCTCCTCTCCCCTCACCTCCTCCCCTGACTCAGAGCAAAGAAGTCAGGGAGAGACGACCGGGACGCCCACACCCACGGCCACCCCCACCTCTGAACCTGCGCTCTCAGGTAACAGTGTAGTAATCTTTTGACCGGTGCCACTGAAGTTCAGGGGAACTTGGTGCGCTCTTTTAACATTTGTGACGTTACAACCACAAACCTCAATGTTTTCTACTTTGATTTGTTTACCAACACAGAGCAGTGAGTAGTTGTGAGATGAAAGTCAAAGTAAACATGCCATACCTTTTTTTTATGAATTTATACAGATGTGAAAAGTGTTGGATGTAAATCTCAATTTACATGCTTGTCTTTAAGTTGCACCTTTTTTTTTGGCTTAATTAGGTTTATATAAACACTCCTAAAGGAAGTTTTAGTCAGGGGAGCTAATTGAAATGAACTTAACTTATTCACAAAATCCTAACAAAACATTTATAGTTTCTGGTAGTAACGTTCCAAAATGGTTTAAGGGAGTATGAGAGCTTTTGTAATGCACTGTGTGAGTGGTGGATCTGTGGATGTTTTGGAGCCACTCAATCAGCAGCTTCACTTTCTTTTCCTTCAGCCCCCAGTTGTCCCTCTCTGTCTCTCTGCTCCTCACCTCCTACCCCTCTCTGTCTCCTGACCGCTCATTCCTGTCTCTGTCGCCCCCTCTGCCTCTCTGTCAGAGTACGGTCCTCATCGCCTGCCCATAAGTTTAGTGTGTAGGCGTTTGCAGAGGTTGCTTCGGCTGGCCGACCCACCGGGACAGGGTCAGCGGGCGGCGGCCCCCTCCACCTCTGAGAGGCAGTCACAAAGAGGGGCTACTCCAGCTGCTGCTGCTGCTACCGCTGCTCCGAACCAACCCTTCACAGGTTACCCCTCCCTCTGAGCTTTCCAAGCCTGCAGCTACCCTCGCCAAGTCCTCCCGCTCTCACCCATCATGTAACCTTTGCAGACATGTTTCTGTGCAGACTCACCTTGCCTCAGAAAATCCCGATCTTGCTAGATCTCAGCCCCTCTCTAACACACCTTACATTTAAAAACCTCTAAACCTTAGCAGCTTCCTCACCCCCCTCACTAACGCTCCCTTTACGTGCTGCTTGTTTTTTATTCCATTTGCAGACTCTGGAGTGGCACCAGCAGTTGTTAAGGCTCTGGTTTGGTTCATGTGGTTGTTTCCCTGTTTGATGGTGAAACTGCTTTGATAATTGGTCACCGCTGGCTTCCTGTCTGCGGTTTGGTTTTCACTTCATCGTCAATTAAATTCTCTTTCAAACAGAAAAACCGCATTACTGACCCTCAAGCACCAAATTAGTATATGTGAGAAGTTTTCTTGTTGTGGTGCAGTGGAAAGGTCTATAGGTCTACAGTAGTAGCCATTCAAAATGTCCCCACTTTCCTTGATGGGCCCTTGGCTGGTCCCCTATAATTCATTTTTAAACATCAATCTTTGTACTAAAATATTCTTTAGCCATTATTTCTGGACATTAAGATCTAAAGAGAAGCGCCATCTCCTGGTCAGAACCTGTAATTCAGTGAAGGGGTGGAGTTGGAGTAAAAAGATATGCACACGCAGGAGAAGGAGGGCGTCACTCCAGTGGCCGGAAGTTGGAGGGGATTTCGCTGGGAGTTGCAGGGAAGTGGGCTGCCATTACCATGGCATTTGACTGGGAAGGGATATTTTGAAAGGCTGCTACTGTAACTGCAAATTTACGTATTTGTGTTTGAATGAGATCTTCATTGCTTTTGCTTCTCTAACATTCACTGGCTGTGATTTATACTGATTAAGAATACACTGTGTAGTCGGCAACACAGCATCTACTAATGTTTGTATGTCGATTAATTCAGTGCCTTGCTAAAGTGTCAAACAAACCCTGGAGCCTTTTCCTTATTTTGGTACATTACAGCCGCAAACCTCGATTTGTGTTTGGAGAGGATTTAAAGAAATGTGACGGCCGGGTGCAAAGCGGAAGAAAAATTTCACCAATTTTCACAAATAAAACAAATTAATCTCAAGATAAATGCTTCTGGGATAACTGTTAGTCGGGCTTGTTTGAAAGAATGGCAGGAAGAAAGGTTTCCTTCAAACTAGGGCTTTAAATATCGAAGCGATGACGATCATGATTGATTCACATTTTTATTGTTATCACATTTTTACGGCTTTGTATTTGCCAAGGGATCAGATAGCTGGGGTGAAGATCTGCAGCATAGTTCTCATCAGTCAGGACTCAAAGCCAAAGCATTGAGAATGGAGGCTTCAGCGCGGGGGGGCTTCAGTGCAATGATTGTGACACTAAAAGAAAGCAGTGAGGAGTTTCCTCAGGCATTTGTGTGAAAGCAAGTGATGATTTTTATGGAAGGATATTTACAGTAAACCCCCACAGCACTAGGGAGATGCAAGCAGCGAGATAAAGGCTGATTCTGGAAGAAAATTGTTAAGCGACAACTAAAGGACTTGAGACTGAAGTTCCCCTACCAGCAGGACAACTACTCCTAAACATGCAGCCTGAGAGACATGGAGTGCTACGGTTTGAGTTAGAAAAGGAAACATTTGTTCAAATATCCCAGTCCAGGTCCAGACCTAACTGTGCTTCAAATTCCAGATAAAATCTATTAAAGCTGAATGTTGTGATGTGAAAAAGTTCAAGGATATTAATACTTTTGCAAGTCACTCTTATGTGTAATGAGCAGATGTGAACTTTTTAAACGTTTGTTTGCATTGCAAAAAGCGGAAATACACATAGTTATGTACAAGTCACCAGGTTTTAAAGGTTAAGCATCTTGAATGTGTGTCTGCTTCTTCATCTTCGAACTCTTTCAGAGTGCAGACTGTCTGCTTTGTGTTCCAGATTCCCCTTCGTCTGTGGTAAACAAACAGCTGGGATCCATGACTCTGGATGAACAGCAGGGTGCGTCTCTCCTCCGTTCCCGGTCTTCTCTCTCCATCTCACACAGTATCATCTGTTCGTCTTTTTTTCCAACACCTACAAGAAGTTATCTTGCACACACAGTAAAGGACATAATGGTTTAATTTGCTAAAATCTACCAGTGGGGGATTACATGCTCCGGATTTTAAAGCAGCCTGTTGATTTTTCTATTAAAAAAGCCTGATATTTGGTGTGGACATGAGTGGATGAAACATGAGTGGATGAAACATGTGGAGGAAGAAGAAGGGGGGACTTTCAGTTTTACATCTACCTTTATCTCATCTTATGATTTCAGTACTAATAATTACATACTAGGGCTGAAAGTGCTTTGGAGTGAGTGTTTTAACCAGTATTTCTATAGCGCCAATTCACAACACATGTCATCTCAAGGCACTTTACAGTTCACCAAATCATACAGTGAAATTAATTCAAAGTTTTCCATCTAAGAAAAACCAGTTGAGTGCATCGTCTTATTGACTCGAATGCAATCCCTCACACTAAGCATGCTTGATGCGACAGTGGAGAGGAAAAACTCCTTTTTAACAGGAAAAAACCTCCAGCAGAACCAGGCTCAGTGTGAGCGGCCATCTGCTGAGGCTGACTGGGGCTCAAGAAATGAAGCAGGCCCCTGCTTAAAACCTTCTATAACTCTGTGGTGGCATCAGCCCTCCCCTACGCTGTCGTGTGCTGAGCCCCTGGCAGCGCAGAGTTGAGAAAAGAGACTGAACAAAGTGGTGAGAAAGGCCACTTGTGTCCTTGGCTGCACTCTGGACTCAGTGGAGGAAGTGGCTGAGAGGAGGGTGCTGTCCAAGCTCACATCCATCATGGACAACACCTTCCACTCTGTACCAGAATGTAGGCGAGCTAAGCAGCTCCTTAAATTAAAGACTTACACCCAGTTTATAAAAAGGAGCGCTACCATAGGTCATTCATCCCTGCTCCCACCAGACTATACAATGCAAAACTACAAAGCCAATAAGTTGTGCAATATCTAATGTGCAATCACTATTTAATACCCTGTTTTTTATATTTAATACCCAGTGCAATAGCTATATATATATATATATATATATATATANGAAAAACCAGTTGAGTGCATCGTCTTATTGACTCGAATGCAATCCCTCACACTAAGCATGCTTGATGCGACAGTGGAGAGGAAAAACTCCTGTTTAACAGGAAAAAACCTCCAGCAGAACCAGGCTCAGTGTGAGCGGCCATCTGCTGAGGCCGACTGGGGCTCAAGAAATGAAGCAGGCCCCTGCTTAAAACCTTCTATAACTCTGTGGTGGCATCAGCCCTCCCCTACGCTGTCGTGTGCTGGGCCCCTGGCAGCGCAGAGTTGAGAAAAGAGACTGAACAAAGTGGTGAGAAAGGCCACTTGTGTCCTTGGCTGCGCGCTGGACTCAGTGGAGGAAGTGGCTGAGAGGAGGTTGCTGTCCAAGCTTACATCCATCATGGACAACACCTTCCACTCTGTACCAGAATGTAGGCGAGCTAAGCAGCTCCTTAAATTAAAGACTTACACCCAGTTTATAAAACGGAGCGCTACCACAGGTCATTCATCCCTCCTGCCACCAGACTATACAATGCAAAACTACAAAGCCAATAAGTTGTGCGATATCTAATGTGCAATCACTATTTAATACCCTGTTTTTTATATTTAATATCCAGTGCAATAGCTATATATATAAATACCCATCCATATAAATATGCATTAAATACCATGTGCGATAACCCTGTTTAATATTCCTGTTAAATAAGGGACTTCAATATATATGTGTATATACTGTATAAACCCCCATGCACCTTTTCCTCCTTTTGGCACCTTTTTCTTCTCTTTGACTAAAGAGCAGAATTAAGCTTCATAGCTATATTTCACTTTTCATTCTTCTTAATTTATGCCTTTCAAACTTTCTTCTTCCACATTACACTGTCTGTGATTTTACTAATGTCCATCGCTCTTTTGCACTGCTGCATTCTGCATGTAGGATAAACTCAACCGCCGTTGCCTCTGTGCCTTTTTTCTCTACTTTAACCAGGGGCAGCAGAGGCTGCGGCTTCAACTCCTGAGGAGTCTGTTACCACGACAGCCAGCAGCGCCCCGACCACCTCCACTTCCACCACCCGACCCAGCGCAGCGCAGCCAGTCCTTAGCCTGCACTACAGCTCAGAGGGAACCACCACCAGCACCATCAAGCTGGACTTCACCGATGAGTGGTGAGCGGACTGCTTGTTATCTGTGGATTATCTTTTGATTGCCAAACCTTTACCCTTCCTTTTGTTTATTTTCTTTATAAAATTGTTATTTTTTTATTTTTTATGAAGCTGGTGACTGTTTAATTTTCTTCACAGGAGCAGCAGCGCATCCAGCTCGATGGGCGGTGGAACGTCTAAATCGTCAGACGCTGCGACGGCAAACAGCAGAGAGACTCTGTCTGCAGAGAGCTCAACATCAGAACCGGGTAATTCATGTTTTTCAGCATCATGGAAATGGTTGCTTTCATGGTGCCTCGCAAAAGTATTAAAACTGCTCAAACATTTTTTAACTGTTCTGTCACATAATGACTTTAAATCTCTGCCTATAGAGGGTAATTTAAACTAATAAAGGATTGATAATTATTAGGAATGGAAGAGCAGATTGTTCAGGCAAAAGCATGTTTTTTTTAACCTGCTTTCCACATCTGCTCGGTCTGGTTGGTGGCGTCTGAGAAGTGTTGATTATGTTCTGAACTAAGTGGGCCATAATTTAATCTGACTAGGGCTGAAACAATTAATCGGATTAATCTTGATGAATCGAATAATCGTCAACTGGAGTAAAGACTTTAAAACATGGCTTTAGCTGACAGAGCAACCCACTAAGAGCAGTAATTATACCAAAATTGTAAAAGGAATATGTAAACATTTAGTATTTAAGATAAAAAAAAATATGTTTTTGTCTGTCACTATGCTCTATTCAGAACTTCCCAAGTGGAAAAGTTTTAGTTTCACCTGGTTTCCTTTCATAAAAAGTCTTCTTCAAGGAACACCTTTGGCTATCCGATTATTAATCAATGAGTTGAAAAATAATCTACAGATTAATCGATTTGCTGGGACTTTTAGGGTCCTTGTCCTGCTAGAAGTAGAAGACAAAGATCCCCACAGCATAATGCTGCCACCACCATGTTTCACTTTGGGGATTGAGTGTTCAGGGGAATTAGAATAGTTAGATTTCCTCCAGCCGTTCGTTGTGGAAACATGGTGGGAAAAAAATAGTTGAAGCGGTATAAATACTTCTGTTAGGAACCATATCCTCTGGTTTATTTCCCACTGTACTACAGGACAAACTGACCATGTTCTTTGTCACCTCCTCAGCTCCCTGTGAGTGCTGCGGGCAGCAGAGTTTGCCAGCTGCCTCCTCAGAGTCTCAGCGAGACGTCTCAGGCTCCAGCGCTCTTGGTGGCTCCACGACATGGGGTCCCTCTGAGTGGCATTACATGGGGTCTCCGCTGCAGGAGAGGAGCCAGCCAGAGGGTTCAGAGGACACGTCAGGAGGCTGCAGAAGAGCAGAACCTGCCGGCGAGGAGGGGGTGGAGCCTCAGAGTCAGCCAGCACCAAGCAACCAGGACTCTGACGACAGCGACGACGATCCCATTCTCATCCCACCGGCGAGATTCAGAGGACAGGGACAGAGGTTGGTCCTGCTTTCTCTCAGCATGCCATAAATAGGAATCTCCATCAGTTTCATCAAATCATCTTTGAACTTAAGGATAGATGTTTTGGATTTGAGTTTTATGCTTTCACACTGACTGTTTTCAAACAAATGTAGATTTAATTCCAGAGGATCTGCAGTAGGAGATAGGATGATCAGGTAACACGCTCGTTCTGGAAACTTCAGCTACCTAACACTGAAGCTGCTGCACAGCATTTAAAGCCAACTGCACCATACAGAGTGCCGTGTTCAGCTAACCCTTTGTTCTGACTTGGTGTGAATCAAACTATTAATGCAAAAAAACAGAGTATAAACGTTGTTTGCATGTGAGCACAAACAATCATGCTGCATTCAATGAACCCGCATGCTTGATGATTTCAAGGAAACAAGATAAACAGATTTTAATCATGCTCAAATGTTTTTACTAAAAAGATTCTCTATATTTTTTCACTTATTTGAAGATAAACTAGTGGTTAAAATGCAACGCAAGCATGACGTTTTTAGCACGTAGACCTGGTATATTGTGGATTTTTAACAAAAATGCTTTTGATTTGTTGCTTTTTCTTTCCTAGGCGCTCCGCAGCAGCTCGTATCCAGGAGCTGTTCCGCAGGAGGAAAGAGAGAAGAGAAATGGAAGAAAGTGAGACTCAGAATATCAGGAGACCTTCAGTCAAAATGGTTTACAAGGGCCATCGCAACTCCAGAACCATGGTAAGCAGTAGAAATCATGTTTTTATTTATTCAAGTAGAGGATAATCCAATGTACTTAGAAATATTACCTTACAAATAAAACTCATACATGTACTGGTATCACTAATTATCCAGTTGAAACAAATTTAATCAACATATTATTATTGCTTATTTTTACTTATTAAGCACAGCAAAGGGTGTGCTTTTGGTGTCATCATCTCCATGACAACCATACCCTTCGTTAGGTGTTTGAGTAGTTTTGTACAAATTTTAAAGGTGAAGAATGGGTCATCATTTTCTTTTAGATTATTGAATGTTTACAAAGCAAGAAGGGGACCAAGGTTTGTGGGTGCTGTAGAGAAATTGTGTGAACAGGGATGGTCAAAACCCCTCCTCTCTGTATGCACCACCTTTGTGAATTTTAAACCAGTTTACAGCAGCTGTGGAAGTAAATTAAACCAGCAATTTTGTCTCTTTACCAATAAAGTTGAAAACCTTGTGAAAATGATTAGTTTACTGCATATTTTATGTAATTTTTTTTTATTAAGTCTAAAGTCAGTAGCCAAACTTTCCTGTAATACAAAACTAAAAGTGTTGCTCTAGACCAGAGATTAGACTAGATGAGTTTTATTGATATCACAGCGGAGAAATTCACTTGTCACATATTGGCATAGAAATCAAAGAAGGTGCAAACAAGGAGGAAAAAGGTGCATTAAGAATAAACAATATATATATATATATATATACAGTATATCCAGGTATATGCAGTATATCAAGATACCATCGAGTTGTTTGCCCTTTTGCCCAGATAAAGGAGTCGTGCTTCTGGGGCAACAACTTTGTGATGAGCGGCTCAGACTGTGGACACATTTTCATCTGGGACCGACACACAGCGGAACACGTCATGCTGCTCGAGGCCGACAACCATGTGGTCAACTGCCTGCAGCCGCACCCCTATGACCCCAGTGAGTCCAGTTAGGACGGTGGTCTTTTCATAAAGTGCAGCCATTAATTCTCACCCTTTATGTCCTTGTTTCTGCAGTTTTGGCTTCTTCAGGGATAGACTACGATATCAAGATTTGGTCGCCACTGGAACAGACGCCATCTTTCAACAGAGTTCTTGCTGAAGAGGTATACAACGCCCTAAGCGTGCACACTGCCCACGTTAAAAGAGTGAGAATTAAAAACAAAAAGCAAAAAAAGTGAAACATTATTTCATATTTACATTTAAGAAAATGTAAACTATTTTTTTTTAGCCTGATGCCAAACGCAGTTTGCTCTTCGTCAAATACCTGAATTCAGTTATGACCTCTATGTAAAAAAAAAACCTGATAACTACAATTAGATTATGGTGGAAAAGGTTCAATATATTTTTTACTCTTCGTATATATAGATATATAACAGACTAAAATATCTCAAGCTCTATTTCTTACAATTTAGATGTTTTTGGCTTGAAGATAATCAAAATATAAAGTTCAATGTCTCAGAAAATTAGGATTTCAAATAAGAAAATGTGTCATATTTAAATAAAGTCAAAAAGCACAGCTTCTTCAACCTGCTGTTTGTATTCCTATTTGTCCAGTTCAAACAGGACTGTCTTTTAAAAAAAACAAAATGACATATATGTGATATTATACTCAAAATGTGCAAGTTTTCATCTATTGAAAATTATAATATTTTAATGAATAAATTGCACCAAAAACTTTAAAAGGTTTTGTTTTTTAATCTAGGATTAATAGTGACTCAACATCAGAGCGTAGTAAGGCACCCGGGCAGCAAACTTTTTAAAAAAAACTATCATTGTTTGAATGAATAATAGCACCATCTGGTGGACAAACTAAATATTACAAATTAAAAGCTAGTATTCAGAAAGAAATTTTTAGCATAAATTAAAAAATATTATTTTTATTTGTTGTAAAGAAGGCATTTTTTGCCCCCAGTAACTATTTTTTCTTAGTAAATTTTAAATAAATTGTACAACCTGTGTTTTGGGAGGTCATTTCATTCCCTTATGTTGATATATTATTTGTCATAAAATGTTGATTTATTGTTACCGCAATAAATTATGATTAAAGACGGTTTAACAACTGAAAGAAATTTGGCAGAACTATAGGAAATATTATTTTACTCTTTTTTTTTTTTTTTTTTCCCTGCCTTTTGTTCCAAAAGAAAATTGATCAATTCAAAATATATGATTTACCAGTAATTGCAGTTTTTCTACAATGTAATGATAAAATCCCATTGCTGTATTTATTGTGTCTCCTGTTTTAAATGTGTTTGTGATTATATGGCTATGATTGTGTTTTTTTTTTCTTAACTTTTTTTGTCGTCTCTTCACTAAAAGGTCATAACCCGCAATGAGCTGATGCTGGAAGAGACCAGAAATACAATCACTGTCCCGGCCTCATTCATGCTCCGAATGTTGGCGTCCCTCAATCACATCAGATCAGGTAAACCTCATGTCTGTCAGCCCTTTGCCTCCCATGTTTCTCCTCCATATTGATTCATTTTCTGCTTCTTGTAGATCGGTTGGAAGGTGATCGATCTGAAGGATCCGGTCAGGAAAACGAAGAGGAGCAGTAGCCAAGTTGGCGTTTTATTTTCATGGAAAAAAACAAAACAAAACAAACACCTTTTTTTTGTGGCTGTATAGCACTTGCAAAGAATCCCCGAGATTTGTACTAGTGTAGAATAGCTTCTTTTGGATATTAGTGTTATTTCTAGGCTCTTGTGTTTTGTTTTGTTTTTTAAAAAACTTTCTTACCAATGTTTCTGTATGAGGACAAACTACACCTGTGTGACTGCAAAGGACACCAGTATGCGTTTATGAAAGTGTATGTCTAGAGAGAGAATAGCAGCGGCTGGTGTGAAAGGATGTTAAAGTGCAATATTATTTGTGTTTGGAGGAGGTGAGTTTGATCAGTGTTAATGTTTGACATTTTTGAATTTGTAGCAACGAAATGTTGATGTGCTGCTGCAGCACTTAAAGCATGTTAATAAAGACTTTAATTAAAAGACAAAGCTTTAAATCGGTTGTTTTATAGAGTTTGGAAATCAGGGATTAAGAAAGCGCAGACGATGACAGGTGCTAGCCGTTTGTAGCTGAACAATATTTTTGTTTGTTTTTTGCCAAAAAAAAAAAACAATGTGGGAAGCTAATAATATAAACCCTAATAAACCCTGCGGCTAAGGCGGGACCTCAAAATATTTAGAGCAAATAAGAAAAAATTATACGAAAAGAAAAAATTTATTACAAAATATATGTTTAAATCATTATTATGAACTATTACTAAAATCAATTTCACATGAAAAATATGATTTAAAACTGAACTTTGATGCTCTTTATTTCTGTAAGACATGGAGGATCCCACCATGTCTCAAGGTAATGAGATGCCTTTTCCCTTCTAACAATATTATTCTTGTGTGATTCTGTCTTTTTAACTTTAAAAGTGCTCAAAACAGAACACAGAGGATGTGTAAATGTGGATAGTGACATGCTTACAGCACTTATGCACTTTCGGTTCAGCCTTTCCACTATCCCCACTTGTGAGGTGCAATTTGTTTTGTTTAACAGTTTGTTGGAAAGTTTATTTTTGGAAATATAAAACAAAGTTAAAACATGCTAGTTAACATTGTTACGCTAGACAAACATAATTAGGAATAAAAGTAAAATAACACAAGTTTTTCTTTTTTTTTTTACATATTTTGCAGCATTAGTATATCTAAAACAGCAAGAAATGATTTGTTAAAAAAGAATCTGGGGTCAGCAGCTCTCTTTGCATGCCAGGCATGACCCAACTCCTCTCTATGAGCTTTACATATGAGAAATGGTAGAAAAATTGACGCCTTAAAGACAATGATGGGTAAGGCAGAGTGAAGATAGCAGGAGGAACTCCTTATGTTGGCAACAGAGGATTTAATTTCTTTATTAATATATAATTTTCAATGTATATAAAATCTAAGTATGTTTTATCAAATTTTTGTTGGGGAAAAAAGATGCTCTAGTTTTAAGGTTGCTTGGTTTTACAACTACAGTAATTCATACTGCCAAAATCTCTGCATCATCTGTTCTAAATAAAGCCTCATGTTAAATTAAAAAAGGCGCTAAAAATCACGACCAAATGTGTATCTAACATGACTTTATTTTACATAGAGTTTTAACATGTGATTTGTTTTACTTCACCCCTCACTGCTTGAAAGGGATCATGTTGATATAAAATGCGTTTTGTTCCTAAACAAGCTTATATGCATAGACATTTGAAAATCATCTATAATAGATTAATTGATGCTAGACAGGGATTGGAAAGCAGCTTTACACTTTACAAAACTACTAAATATTGAAGTTGGATGCATGTATGAATGCATACGTCTGACATCAAGGCATTAGTACCAGAGGTGGTCTAAATAGAAATTGTTTTACTGATGATTTCTGTTATATCTTCAGTCATGTGCACACATCTCAATGTTTTCCAAATAACATTGTTTCACTCAAAGCAGATAGTTTGGTATAACGTTTTAATACAAATATCCAAATGTAAAAGGTCATCACTTCTCATTTGTAGTCATTTTCTCCTATAAAAAAAAGTACCAAATATAAAAACAGGAAACAAATGAGGTAAGACTGAAACATGAGAACTGGACTCGAGTTTTACAATAAGATTCAATCCACCTGATGAGAATACAAGTGGAAAAAACAAAAAAAAACACGTAACTCTGGAAACACGTCTTCAAGTCAGATTTGAGCTATTAATTCAGCAAAGTTGGTGTCTAAAATATCGGCGTGAAGAACCGACTGTAGAGACCATTTTTTGTACCCGTCTGTGTTCTAAATGATTTGCATTATTGCATTAAAGGAAAACTTGAGAACGGGTTAGTGGTAAGTACCTTAGTTTGCATTACAGAAGTTGGACAGCTGTTTATGATGTAATGGAACTAGAAGCGTTTTCAACCCTACTGATTATTTTAGTGCACAGAGTTACGATATGTATTACGATCATAACGTGTTATGCTACGTTATGAACTAAAATTATATTACCTAGGCACCAAATTGGTTCTTTAAATTGTGAATTCAATTTAGGTCTATAAATAAGACTGATTTGAAACTAAACACTTATGACCCAACATGAATTGTAATTAATGTTTAGAATAATGACTGAGGTTTAAAAAGAGCAAGAATGAAAAGTGGAAATGTTTTTTGTTTTTTTTTGTTTTTAGTCCATACATCCTATTCTTCTGTACATGATTTGTACCGATCCTGAAAGAAAATAAATACATAGATATTCCAAAGCTTAGAAGCATCCAGTCAGCACTGATTTGATTAAATTCGCAGTTTTTTAAGTCCTCAAGCAAAAAAAAAAAAAAAAAAAAAACATTTAGGAGACATGACAGTAATGAAAACATCACAGAAGCTGTTGCACAGTGATGTTTTTTGCTTGGGGCACTAAAACGAGGTGATTCTTTTTGCATTTTTCAAGCAGGCAATATGAAAAAACTATAAATTTTCTTCCTTATTTTAACTCAGACAAAATGCCGTATTTTAAAAATATATAATGACAAAAGATCTGCAGCAAAAACCTATCATATAAGGTTACAGTAGTACAAAATTCCTATTAGAGTACAAAAATGATATAAAAGGTTTTCAAGATCCAACATGGTGGAATGACTATACGCCTCTTCCAATTGCCTTCAGCTATAGAGCCCCATCGCTGAAAACACTGCGTAGTGCGTTCAGATGAGCTTCTCCTCCACATCCACTTCCTCCTCCTCCTCTCTGTCGTCCTTCACGATGCCTTCATCGATGCTCTCCAGCCTCAGTCTCTGACCGTCCAGGTATCTGGGTTTCTGCACCCCCCTCGTCATAAAGAGCCCCCCCTGCGGTGCTAGACTCTGCTCAAACAGCGCCAGCTTGGCATCGCTCTCGATGGCCTTCGCCAAGCAGGAGGCGAAGGAGTCCAGAGATTTATGGACCTCTGCATGGATTTGGACTGAAGACATGTTTTCAGCTGCAAAATGAAATTAAACAAACAAACAAAAAACAAACAAACATTAAAATTGCTTAGTGCCACCTTGTTTTTTTCCCCACTTCTTTGGAATATTTTTTTCTAGCATGTTCCCTTCGCCTAATGCCCAATGGTGAGATACCTTTGGAATGCTCCACCTGGTCTTCGAAGGTGACCGAGCTCCGCCTCCTTCCAGATGGGTTCCCATGGTGCGCAGGCCAGGAGGAGCCATCTGTGCAGGAGTTCTCCAGCAGCATCACATCTGTGCCTGCCGGTTAAAGACAAACAGGAGGACTTCCTGTAAACAGGGCTTCACATATTACCTCCCAGTAAAAAAAAGAAATAAATAACCACAACATATTCAGTCAGAAATTACTCATCCTGAAAACAAGACTTGTTAGACAGGAATGAATGAAGGAACCTTTTGGTCTGGAGTTCAGCTTGAGGCCAGTTTATCTTAGTTATGGGTAAAAACTAGATTTAGACAAAAAAGGACAGATTAATGAATTGAAGAAACCCCTTAGAGACATAAAGCCATTTTAATTGTATTATTAGTGGTTAAAGAAGGAAATAGAATATAAAAGTCCAGTGAAATGTCAAGAAAATCACATAAAGGAAGCAAAGAGGCTAGGAGGATCTTTCCTCATTAGAAATAGGGCAGGAAGGTGGCTCACAATCCTTTAAAATGTATAACAATAAACTGACACAAACCTTGTGTCTTTTCTTAATGTCAAATAAAATCAGCCTTTTTTCCAGTATTTGAGCTTTCCTGCTTAGTTCCATGGAAAAACTCTCACTACTCTTCCTGACTCACTGCTAAGTCTGAAGGCAGCCACTTCTGTTCCGACGGCACTGTGCACCGGTCAAGTTCATAAGATCGTAAATGTGAACATATACAGCACCTTGGTTAGGGATTACAGGGCAGGCAGCAAGTCAGGCCTTCTCATCCGACATCAGTGTCTGACCTTGTAAATTCTCTAAAGAAAGGAAGGTCAGACATTCCCATAAAGCACTCCCAAACCTTGTAGAAAGTCTTCTCAGACCAACACCACATTAAAGTTTTACTATAAAGAATGCTAGGTCAATTAAAGGCAACTGACAAAAGACTTTTACCATAAAATTGTATCCTAGCACTCCATAGTAGGCTGAAATATGCAGTTTTTTCCAAACCAAAACCTCAATTTTTCCCAGTTGGAACAATTGACCTAAAAATCCTCAGAAGTCAGAAATACAGATAGGAAAATCAGCAGTTTTGTCATCACCTAAAACCTTAAAATCTTTTTTTTTCTTTTTTCAAAACAAAAAAACCCTTAAAATTGGTGGGCTTAAATATAAAACCTAATGATAGATATATAAAAGAAACTTTATTTGACAATCAGTTCAATTTAAGTATTTAGGGCTTCAACCAAAATATTTCAGGAATTCATAACCTTACCACTAATACTTAATTTAACTATTTAAAATAATTGATATAACACTTTTTTTTTTTTAAGTATTTTAACAAACACATTTTTATAAAACCAAGACAGAATAGGATTCATTTTCACTAAATTTCAGGTTCAATAATTTAAGCTACATCTAAAAATGTCCATAAATACTGAAATGACAGCTACATG